GTAAGGTCTTTTGAGAACAAGTCAGAGTTTGTATTGAAAGGCACACTCTGAAATTTGCAAAGGGATTTGTAAACCAGTAGAAGACATACAACTTGGCTCAATTTGTAGAACGAATTGAATCTTGGAATCTGCTAAAAATCTTCGTGAAAAAGCTAACATATCATGGTTCTAATAAAGTTGATGATATATGACCAGCAGATGACCGGGAACCCATGTCAGTTCTGCTCCTGCGCTTAATATGCTTCGAAACGTTGTTTCGTATTGTACTAAACACATCAATTAAACACACACCAATCAAAAAAAGGGAAGTCAAGAAAAGTATTTTGTCATATTATTTAAAAACCATCAACTGAACATCAGATATCAATTTGAATTTTAGGAACTCAGCCAGCTAAAGGCGATATTCAACAGTTTGTAAGAATAGCAGGAAATAAAACAACAGCTAGTGTACAATTGTCTAAAATTGGATTTAAGAAGTTATATTCTACTATAAGATGTTATAACAATGGTGGACGACACGTGACTGGTAGTAGTAATGGAGTATTTATTATAACTGATATATCTCAATCTTTATCTGGTCAGATGTCTATATTACCTGATCCTACATCACAATATATACTCAATAATCAATGTCATCCCATCAGTGATCAGATGAGACTAAAATGGTCGGCTGAAACTGATAGTGAAATTATCGCTGCAACGGTAATTATATTGTTTTAATATTTACAATAATACAATATTTTGTCTGTTAAAAAGTGACCACAACATCAATTGTAGAGGGATTTAGTAAAGATAGCTTGCCAGGCAAGATTATATAAGCCCACTGAAAGATTTGATTTTGAATAAAACAAGACATGAAAAAAATAAGACAGTACAGTTACTTTCAGTCATACACTTCTCTGGAACTTTTATGGGTGATACTGAACAATATTACCAAGTTTTGTCAAAATTCGGAATGAATCATGCATTTTAGTATTTACGAGCTGAAAGCGTTTTCCAGAAACAAGGGCATTTACTCAAGTAAAATTTTTTTAATGTTTTGATTGTGTTTTGATAGGGTTCATCCTTGGGTGATTACAAACACTCACAGTAAAATTCGTCAAAATCCATCAAGAATTGTGGCTTCTAGTGTTTACTAGCAATTGTGGACGCACGAACGGGCATGGGTGGCGCCCATTTACGTCCATTTACGCGTATAAAAAGAACCTCAAACCTCCTGTGACAAATTTCATCATTTTACTATTGTTCTAGTATAACTAGTGTTGATTAGCTGCTATCAATGTTTCGCCAAAATGCTTGAGAGTTGGGTTCCAATTCCAGTCCAAATTCTGAAGGGCCCTGCTCTCCTGTAAAATATTATTACTCTTTGAATAAAGATAATGATTATAATTAGGTTGGAGTTGCCAGTGTAAATGGTAAATTACAGAAAGAAGTCCCATTACGAGATATCGACTATAATGGTGCAGTTTTAAAAGGATTGAGGCTTCAACCAAGAACAGAATATAATATCAGTATTTCAACTGTAAACGTGGTAGGAAGAGTAGAAAAAACTCTATCGAAAGAAGTTAATACTAGACGAAATCCGCCAGAAATGAAAGGTATGAGTATTTTGAAGGCAGGATTGGGTGAATATAAGGTTCATATGTTTGACACTATTTCTAGACTATCAACACGTTTGTATTTTATTGTCTTTGTCGGTCTTTTATATTATTGCGAAATAAATATTACCAAGCGTTGGACCAAACACAATGTAGTTTTGATGATACAAGTATTTAAGCAAGTAACAGGTTTCTTTTTTCTCTTTCAGCTGGATCGAGTATTACTGTAGCTAATTCTATAGATGGTAAATCAGTTGTACTATCGTGGAAAGATATATTTGTAAGTGACTGGAACACGTTAAAATATGAAGTGAGTTTAGGAACAGTGCAAGGAGCTGGTGATATTATTCAGTGGCAAGAAACAAATTCTCATTCCATTACCGTTCAACACCAAAGAGAATATCAAACTTTATATATAACTGTAACAGCTGTTGATTCTTGTGGACTTTCTACTGATTTTTCTCAGTTAGTTACTATCAAATAATTTTTTTTAATAATAATATATATAAGAATTCCCTTTAAAAGAATATTCGCGCCTCCTGTATCTTTATAGTTCTTCCAGTATGCTTTTATATCTAACTTTTTCTTTTTAACGAAAATATCCATCTTTTTTCTGTCACATTGACTAATCTGTCGGTTACTTGAAACGACATGACTGCTTTAGATAAACGACTATAATTATCCATAAATCACGGTTCAAATGTGCTGTGGTGTTTCTTCAATTGTATTGAATTGGGAATAATCAATAACACATGCAGTATGAAATAAACGAGTTTTTAAAAACTAACAAAACATGTTCAAGGCATTGTAAATAGCTTTACTTCTCTCTGGCCTTTAAAGGGACAGATTCGCCATCCGTTTGGCCAATCCTACAATTACCTATGCTAATCAGAATTAGTGTCCACAAATTACCATCGAAATTCAAATCCATGTGTGTCCAGAATTATAAGTGTTTCAAAGTTAAAATGACGACTCGTCTTTTCTTGAGGATGTGTCATTCATAGAAGAAACATACAATATTGAAATAGAAAGTGAAATGCCTTGACGAGCTATCTTTGAAAGAGTTATATGATTTTTATACGCCGAGGTCCCTGTCCGTCGGTCTGTCCACATTTCCCATGAGCACTTTAGAGACTACAGCGTTCATTTGTTTTTAATGAAATTCGGTGTGATTTATATTCATGAGATCGTGGTCAAGTTTGAATTTGACGAAAACCATCAAATTTTTTTTGGGAGCGCAATATAGACTACAGTTTTCATCGGATTGTAATGAAATTCGGTGTTATCATTAATAACGATGAGAATTTAGTGAAATTCGAATTGATGATTTTTGGGTTATTGCTATCTTGTGAAATAGATATATATTATACATAATAAATAACTACAATTGTATTATGAAGATCGTTAAAATAATAAAATTCAAATCATTAAAGAATGTTGTTATTTTATCTGCCAGTGGGCGTAGGTTATCTTTGTATATATTTAGTTCTTCTGTTGTTCATTTTCGTCTATCCCTTTAAGGTATCAATTTAGTTTCATTACCAATTGCCAAATCCTAAAAATTTTGTTCAATATAGAGATCCAAATAATTCCGACCATTTGCAGTCTCTTTGTCGGTATTTTTTTTTCTTTCTTTAATTTTGTAATCTTTTTCACTATTTTTGCATTTTCATATCAATAAAGCAGTTAATCATTAACTGAATAATACGTCTTTACTTAATTATACCATGTTTGTAACATCAATTGCAGACGATCGGGACGCTTTCCTGGCAACGGCCTGTTTAAGGGCAAAAATCTAGTTTAATCATCGATCTGGCATCCGATTGTCGTTCTGTATTTTTATACGCCCAACATACGTGGACGTATATTGACGTTGCCCCTGTCCGTCGATTTTAATGAAATTTGGTATGATAATTTATATTCATTAGATCTTAATCAAGTTCAACTTTGACGATTTTTTTCAATGAGCGTTTTTTGAATTATTATCCTTGATTTAAGAAAAACGCATCAAAATTTGTTTGTGAGCATAATAGAGACTACAGTTTTCATCCGAGTTTAATAATGAAATTTGGTGTGAGTATTTATAATGATGAATTCTTGGTCAAGTTCAAATGTGACGATTTTTCGATGAACTTTTTTTGAATTATTGCCTTTGACTTGATTAAAATGCGTCAAAATTTGTTTTCGAACACAATAGAAACTACAGTTTTCATTCGATTTAAATGAAATTTGGTGTGATCGTCTACATTTACAATGAGATCTTGGTCAAGTTTGAATTTGATGATATGTCGATGAACGGAATTTGAGTTTTTGCTTTTGACTTAGTAAAACGCATCAAAATTTGTTGGCTAGTGAACGCGATAGTGGTGCCAGTATTTTTCTTAATTTTATGAAAATTTCTGTTTGATTAAATCAACAATATCTTTGACAAATTATATTTTTGGTACGATTTGACACAGATTAGTGATCGCCCTTGATATACTGAAAATTTTATCAGGGAAGCGGACGTATCATGCCAGACAACACTTTTTGAGTTATTGCCCTTGACTAACCAAAATCGAACAATACAGACTACAGTTTTCATCCGATTTAAATGAAATTTGATATGATGATTTATAGTCATGAGATCTTGGTCAAGTTCGAATTTTTTAATGAACGATTTTTGAATTATTGCCCTTGACTTGACGCGTCAAAATTTTTGAGCACAATAGATATTACAGTTTTCATCCGATTTTAATGAAATTTGACGTGACCTATAGCAAGTTATAATCTGACCTTTTTTTCGATGAACAGTTTTTGAGTTATTGCCCTTGACGTAATAAAAACAAGTCAAACTTTGTTTGTTGGCATAACAGATTGCATCTGATTTTAATGCAATTTGGATTGATCATTTATATTGATGAGAAGTTAGGGAAGATTGGATGATTTTTTGATGAAGGGTTTTGTGTGACTGCTATCGATTGAAAAATATTTTGTGTAATAAATAAATATAATAAATAACTACAATGAATTACTGTATGAAAATCTTTAAAATAATAAAATTCTTATTTAAGTCACTTAAGACTGTCTGACAGCTGCCAGTGGGCGTATGTTACCTGGCAAGCTATCTTAGACGTGATTATGCCTGTAAAAATTATATATACAGATATACGTGTGCACTTGAATCTTCTGAAAATCAACAAGCTGTGACGTTTTAAGAGGTAAGGTGCGATATTGGCAATAAGGAACACAAAAGTCATATCTTTTGCCCACCAACTATTCCTCATTTACATTAGGATCGCACGGGCCTATGTGAGTGTGTGTGTGACGGAGTGTCTCGTCTGTATATTATTCTCTTGTTTCGACATGCATAATGACGTTGGTTTCATATGATATTTCATACAAGATAATTATAACTCAATGTCGGACTAGAATAGATTTAATTCACAATATAATCAATGAATATATATATATAGTCTTTGGTAAATCATAAAAATGGCACGGAACAGGGTTATAAGGTATTAACGAATAGGGCCCTGGAATAAAATCATTTTTACAATACCATTTAATACCTGACTGTATCAGTTTGATAAATACGGAAAAAACAATTGAACATTCTGAAGCACTTTATAACAATCAACCGTTGGCCTGTAGCTTATACTTGGTTAATATTTAACAAGTACTGTTTTAAAGCACCGGGTAAAGGGAGATAATCAACATTTTTAGCAATATTCATTTTCAATGACTGGTAGATTGATACTCGAGCCATTTGTCTTAAACTTCTCGGATGTTCAGTCAGTCTGTTTATCAAGCTCAAAAAGTCCTTCCTGTTGTCATTAAATAAATGAAAGCGCACCATGGATTTGGCAGTGTTGAGACAGGCAAACATTGTCTGGTGCTCCATACAGTTATAAAACAAGAGCAGCAACTCTTCAGCACGACCATCACTGAACAACGTCTCGCGTTCTTTCACCTCAGTAATATAATGACTAACAGGCTGCGTATTGTGGCGTTTTAGATATATAGAACTCTGGCAATGAACAATAACCGGTTCTGAAGGATAGGGAGCTATATCAGGATTAGCTCCCCACTGTAACAATGTTTTCAACCACATCAAAATAACAGAAAAATCTTTGGTGGATGTTGCATGTGTTGTGAGTCTCACAAACTCAATAAGGGCATTGCCAGTACCACCTTTTGGATATTGCGAAACTTTAGGACTAGTATGATTTGGATCCATCCCGTAGCGTAACAAGACAATCAATACCACGTTCATCATCTTGGCGAAATCAATTCGCAACTCTTCTTCAAAGACTTCACCAAGGTCGTTTTCAAGGTCAAAGAATCTTTGACATACCGCAGCTAGTAACGTGGCACAAGTCACATTATTACCAGTAGTAAAATTAACCTGTGCATTATTGTTTAGGAGAATTTCAATACAATTGACAATATCGTTGGCCTGGTCACACAAAAGATTTAGGTCTTCATATAGCAAACATTGCAAGAGACAGATTAAGGGTGTATGTCCTTCGGAACAGGTAAAGTTCACATTAGAACCAAACTCTAATAAGATGTCCATAGAACGTCCTAACGATTTGAAATCATTGCGGTAGTCCACTATCACATAATCAAAAGAGGCAGTCTGAACACAATCCTGATTTAAAGTTTTGTTGCTGGATTTTAAGGCAATGTGAAGCAAGCGACTCAGTGAGGTCAATCCATATGCATTCAACAAATGAGGATCAGCATTAAATTCTAACAGAATTCGACAAGTCTTAATGACTTGTTCTTGATAATCTCCTTGTAACTGACTGCGTGGTAATTTTTGACTGGGATCTTCAAAATTCCCACCAATATAAGAAACATGAGATATAAGCATGTGCAATGACGATTCTCCTAAAGATGTCATAGAATTTATATCCTGTTCTATGCCAGTTGTCAGAAGATATTTGGTGGTGTCGTATATTGTGAACAGTCCATCACTAGACGCCCGATATAACCTATGTAATGCTGTTTCCTTGATTCCTTTCGAAAGTTGGTGAACATCAGCTCCATTGTCCAGTAACAACTTCACACATTCGCGACCCCAAGGCACAGCGGTCAATAAGGGAGTATCTCCTTCACAACCATATTGATTGATGCATCCTGGATACTTCCAAATAAGGAATTTCATCACATCATACGCACCAGATTGACAAGCTTCCAGGAGTAAATTCAAAGGACTAGGTAGCTTTTTATTTGGACTAGATACATTTAGTAGCACTTTCAGACAATCCACATTGTTTTTCAAAATGGCACATGATATCGGTGAGGCAGAATATTTTTGGCACTTGTAAACAGGAGAATGAGTAAATCCAAAATATGAACTTGAATATCGAATGGGTAAATGTGGATCAGGGTAGCACATTCCACAACTTCTACTGTTATTAGCCCCAGCATTAAGCAATAATTGCAACATATTAACATCTCCTAAATATGCCGCTAATTGAACAGGAGGAGTGCAATGATATCTGTCAGGGTTACAATACTTACTGAGTAATATCTTCACTGATTTGGAGAATCCACGAACAACAGAATGCTGTAAAATATCATAACCACTGATTTCATCCACAACACTTAACAGATCTTCCTCTGATGGCAAATTTTTTATCAATGCCAGTATAACCTTTTCTGGGACAGTCTCATCCTGGAGTTGATGAATTGCTTTCAGGAGTTTCTCCTTTGTTTCTGGAGATGGTTCCATGTAGACCCGACCATAAATAATACTGATGGGCCATGATGTGCGAAAATATTGAAATAATGATAAGATATAGCTGTATGTTGCTGCCATATAATGATTCATCTTGACACCCTCATTTCACCTGAAAATAAAGATGGGGAAAATGAAAATCCTGATAGCATCATATATTAAGTCACCAGAGGCAGATGTAGTAGCCCTAGGCCCTTAAGCCAATGATTTTTGCACAACTGATGTTTTCTACCTATAGTCAATTTCTATTAATAATAACCAATCTGCATTCCTAAGATACAATGATTTTCAATAACTGAACTATTGTCACTGTTTAAATTCAACACAAACCATTTGATTCACATGACCTAAATAAAGTGAACAGTTTCCATTCCATCATGATAATTAAAGGGATAGAATAGGTTAAATATATCCAATAATAACTAAAAAAGTTAAAGTTTGCAAATATGATATGAGTGAAAACAGTCTATGTTTCCAGGTCAATACTAATATATGGATATATTTATCGATGATGATGAGATCATACTATTGTTTATATCTCAAACAGATAACCACCTTGGTACTAAGACCATCATCACTTGAATCTGTGTACTTTTCTTTACTTGCAAAAGACCACACACACAAAAGATTTCCATTTTGAAAAGTGATACAGAAAATAGATAGTTGAGAAAATGGGTATTAATCCATGCTGTTTAATTCAATCAACCATAAGCATTTTTCAATAAATCATAAATCAGAAACACAATAAGGATTAGCTTAACAAAAGTGATACAGAGTAAAGAGAGCCTGGAAAGTAAATATTTAGATGATATCATTTCATCCATTATTAAAGACACATCCTGAAATGTTCATGTTACTCTGAAGGTCATGCTGTTAAATTCAAACTATAATAAACTTTAACTGTTAAATCATTAAAATCAACTTATTAAAAGCAATAAGGATTAGCATTAAAAATCCTCAATACAAAAAGGTAAAATCACCTACTGTTAAAGTATTGAAATGAACTGAAATGACATAGCAATCCTTTCCACTAAACAGTTGCATAGTCTCTATGATAACTCTACCACTATCCTTTTTACCTTGATTGGCTTACATGACACTTATCAAGTTTCACAAACCATAGATATCTGAATAGCTGTACTGATAATAACTGTATGACTGTACCCTGTTACCTCATAGTTCATATCAACCTGATAATTTATGACATTGGTCAAAATAAGCACATTTACACTTACATTTAAGAGCAGAAATAAAATTGAGTTTTACAGCCTTCAATTCTGCACCTGTTTTGAGGACAGACAACACCATACAGTGTGCAATCAAGGAAAACAGGATTAGCCACTCTCTTTTCAATGCCAACTATCAAGGGATCTTTAATGTGCACAGACTGTAGCATACAGTGCCTAGATGCCTTTTTCATGTCAGCCCCTCTGACCTGTAAAGTTGCTCATGTTTTTTTTTAGAGAAAAGAAAGAAACATGCATGTTTTCATATGGATTCTGTTTACCAGATTCTTATACAAGATAACCAGACTTTCACAAACAGTTTTTTTTATAGTTCTGCAAAAGGTAATAATGTACTAATTCTATAGATCAAACTTATCACAAGATTACTGCATGACTACACTAGACCTTAGCAAGGGGGGCGCTTAGAAATATCCCCCCCCCCTCCCTGAAAATATTAGATGACTTGAATGACTTCTTGAGACCAATAGTGAAGTCCCCCTTTAAATTTTGACCCAAACCCACATCTTTAAACCCTGGGCTAGCCATGGGCCTGTGACTACATGACATTTATCATATTTCACACTCAATAAAGGCACACCTAAATACCTAGAGGATTGGTATTTATGATACAACCAAAGTCTTCATTCACTATGTTCAATGTTTTTTGACAACTGAATCTAACCTTATTTAACCTTCCAACAATACATTAAAAACAGAAAGACACAAAGGTCCATTTAAGTGAAATATTTTTAAATTCATGTTTGACAGTCTAAACACTTGACTCAATTCAGAAAAAAATCAATACCGGCATCCGTATAAATACTGAAATCTTCCTGAAAGCTCTAGAATTTTCAACTGATTACCACAATGTGAATATGAATTCCAGCCTGAATTTATCAGCACTGAATTTCAGCATTATCTGGCCTTTAAATTGAAGAAATACCAAAAGAAATAAAGAATTTAAGTAAATTAAAGGTCAATTCATAGTTATCAGAATGTCCAATATGTTAAAGGGATTGTAAAGGCGTATCACTAGATAAAGATAGCATCAAACTAAGTGTTTGATTACGAAGGGCCTAATGTGATAAAGCATATTTGCCATTAGTGATGTCATCAAACACTTAGGTTAAATGGAATTGCAAGAACCACTGACATTTGATTAAAAATTGGAATGGTGCAAATAGATGCTATCAGTGCCCCCTATACACATACAAAATTTAGAATCCCTCTATTTTCTGATAACTATGAATTGACCTTGTTTACATTTGATCACCAGTAAGTTACTAAAGTACATTTACATTTAAATGGTAAACAAACTACATAGATAAAAACAAATTTACTCCAATAGTTATAGCATACTCAAATTAATCAGTTCACAGAGCTCATGTCTAAATACCCATATTGATATAAGCTTATACTTTCGGACATTAATTATATACACATTTTTATCAGAATTAATTTTTTATTTAACAAAGTGAATAGTACTAGACCTGGAAGTTAATGACAGAAGTTATATCTTTGTATTCTTAAAGCGATTGTAAATAGGTTTTCCAAAACCCGTTTACCACGGGCACTGACAACATCAATTTCCACCATTCCACTTTTTAAACAGACCTCTCTGGTTCTTGCAATTCCACTTAATCACTCTGTTTTAAACGCTTTTAGTGAAATTGCAAGAGACACAGACATCTGATTGAAAATTAGAACGGCACAAATTAGCACAATTAGTATCTCTGATACCATACACATAAAATTTTTATAAAACAATCCCTTGATGAAAGATCTAAGCTTGTTATATTAATTTCCATCAGACGAATAAAGGAAAATTCCAACTCGACTCATGAGCCAAGAAAACTTTCTGGATCCAATGATATAACTGACTTCCAATTGTACCAACTTGGTGATAGGTCAAGTACTATTTCTGAAATCACTTGACATCACTTATTGTTATATCACCATTCACTTATTGTTGTTAAACTTTCAATGTATAACACATTTACAAACGAATCTATTTTCACATTGTCAGGAATATTTTCTCTGCACAAATAATTATAATGATAAAATGTATGCCTACTATAATACATTAATAGTTTAAAACAGATAGTTATATCAATAAGGAAATCTCAATCAAACTGTATATTTCAAATCACAAAATAACAGCAAACAACGACTGACACCCAAAAATAAAAATAGCCAGATACAAATGGCAGGAGACAAGGCCAACTGAGTAGATCTACTAGTACTAGTATACTTACAGTAGTGTTAGTATGACATGCCATACACCTTACCTTAATTCTACATTTCTTATTCAGTCTAATGTAATAACCAGATGTTATTTCAAATACTACGCTATATATAGCTCTCGGCTTATAAAATAAAGGGAAGAGCATAAAATCTGATTTTTACCAAAACATAATAACACACATATTAATTTGCTGTCGTGTTTGCATCACAACAATTTTTTTGTTGCCGAACTCTTAATCTCTTCTCTTTTCCTTAACAATGTCAATATGATGCGAGGAAAACATTACAAACAAAAGCTTGTTTTAACTATTTTCAAATGCATTATAATGATAAAACTGAGATAAACAAATCTACAATTTAAGAAGTTTTCAATACCTTGTCTGGAGGGACTTGTCATTGTTTGGGGTCCTCAAATATTGAAGAAATTGACTGGATTTTGGACCAATTTGGGTCACAACCGGATGATGCAGCCTTGACCTTTATCGCCATTAGCCAGTCTCTTTTTGTCGAGTGATTATCCAGTCTCAATATATATGCGGTAAAACCATATAAAATTCTGAGAGTCATTATAGGCTACAGATAAAAGTAGAAATGTCGTTAGTAATCCAAGAGCATCAGTCTAAGCCTATTGAAACAGCGAAACTATGGAAATGAATTCCTAAGGGGGAATCTGAATAGTTGCAGTGCATTGGCACTACTTTCACAGTAGGCAGTTTGCTAACCCAACTTTTGTTTGTTTCAAGGGTTGCCTCCCTTCAAGTAAGTATAACATTAATAAAAGTACGGTAGCTTAGCAAACTTTTCCTTGAATTTGAAAACAGTTTCCTTCCTCACTCTTGTTTTGGCAGGAAAGTTAATTTTCATAAGTTGGAAAATTCGTCCCCAAGGGATGAAAATTTGGCACTATATACTCTGTTTAGGACTATCATCACTATCGATGGAATAATATTTTTGTTAGATTTGTTGATCAACAGCAAAAAATTGTTGAATGACCATATATATGCTATATAAATGCATAAGATATTTATAAGGCTACTGAAAACAAAACATTGCGATAGATCCGTACATACAAAATAAAACCGAGTACCGTATATTTGCTAATATAATGCGCACCTCATTTCTTCTCCGATATTCTGGGAAAAGTGATTCACTGTAAAACCATTCAGAACAGATAAACATGATCAATTAATGGTGCCAAGTTCTACAACATGAATATGTTTTTCACAAACTGATATAGGCCTATAGGTTGACAAAATTTAAACAAATATAGCTAAGCACAACGAAAATGTTTACACCACAAAACACAAGCATACAGGCTGTAACTATGTTTATTATTCCCTAATCGAGTAAGAAAAAAGGTTTGAGTGTTGAAACATGCGCTCTAGCCCTAGTATTAAGAGCCTGACAGGGAGCATGGATCCAGATATTTTAAAATGTTCATTATCAAAAACGTCGTAAATCATAACTGAAAATGTTTTTTAAATGTGCTATTCACATCTATGTATCTACTTGATTAGAATAAGTGTTAAAACTTAAACTAGTTCTGGTATTTTTAAATCAACTTTTTAGAATGTAGGCCTTGGAGACATATTTAATCACTATTAGTTGATCTCTGAGAAATTTTGCATTAGATATTATTGGTAGTACAATGTTGAGGCAAGCAATGAACAAGAAAACACTGTTTTCGTCAATTTTGGCGAAGAACTACCCATGAAAACTTTGTATAGGATTTCTTAACAGCAAATTATCAATATAATCAGAAAGGCGTAAAACTCTAATAAGTTTCATTTAATTCATGTGCCTTTTCAAAGAAATCTGATATAGAGATTGATTGTTATTCTTTAATGCATTTGAATGGTATGACACATAATCCTTTGTTATAAATTAGATATAAAAGATTGAAAATTGTCGTTAAACCGTGAACCGGGTTAACCTCTGTTATAATACCTTGATTATAGGCCTATAAGAATGTATCTATTGTATGTAATAGGTATTAGGATATGTAGTATTGTAAGGACATGGGCTATAACAGGTTCTTTAACCATCATTAATATATCAATCAAAATGTTTTATTATTCAAAATCTAACTCGAATATATATCATACAATGTAACCACCCATGGATATATCCGATTTTGACGAAAACAGATATATCCAAGACAAGGTGAAGAGGCCAACAAGAGGTAGATTGCAGTCAAGATTTACTGGATCATTCGAGTTGAAATTAAATGACAAAACCAGCAGTTTGTTGAAAATTTCTGAGATAATAAAATAATAATAGAAGTCATAATTCCACGAGCAAACCGGATAAAAGTCCTTCCTAAACGTTCAGTGTACAGGAGAATACCCCTGTGTTTCGAGATTATTTCTTGAATTTAGATATTTACAATAGAGACCCGAGTTGATTTGCTCACCCGGTTGAGTGGACAGTTCGATTGCCTCTTACAATAATGTATAGACCCTCGACACAGCTAGAAATAATATACCTACACACGTTTTGATCAATATCAAAATAGTTCAAATACTATCATATTATACCTTTATTCATGTCAGACGTGACTTGACATAATTATTATTCCATTCTCTATGCGACACCTTGCAGTCCATTAGCATTGATTTCAGACGTTTGTATTGTGGTGGTTATTGTGAATTTAGTTGGCTTTTGGAATTTATGAATAAGGTAGGTAATTCAAATACAATATTCTTGTGATTTAATAAATTCAAAATAATATCTCTAGGATGGTGCTTCTTTGCTTCATAAATAAGGATTTACTGATCGTTTCGTTTGGCCAAGTTTTATATTTTCTTTCCATACCCTTTCATGACTGGAGTGTGGCTTTTATGACCTATAATCTATCTTAATGCCGAAACGTATAGATTTGACAAGTATATTCGAAAAACTTACATTACATTTTCGAGGAAAATTCCAAAACGTTCGATTAAGCAGCTTGTAATACATGCTAATACTTAAGACGATTGAATTTATAAATGGAAGTACAATTTTCTTCTTTCTAATCTTTGCCAGTGACATTTATTTTGATCGTTGGTTAGAACTTGGTAACATTTTTTTATCTTCCAGGTTATGTACAAACATGGACAGGAGAGCACGTGACGCCATAGGAATTCCCCGCGCTCGAAAGAAAGATATGGAAACGGCTCTTCTAACAGCTAGACATCCTAAAGATTCTAAATTTGGAGAATGTTTGATCAACTTGAATACCAAGAAAGATCCCCTGTTAAATTCTCAATTAACCAAACTCAAGTCGGAAATGAGGAGAATGAAACTTCAAGCCAATCAGGTTAAAGACTATTTTGTACGCAGAAGTCAAGTGTTGAACTATGAACCCATGATTCTCGTTGAACGTCCGCCATCTTCTAAGTTTAAACCACAAATTGTCGGTATGACTTCGGAGGAAATTGAAGATTTAGAAAAACCAGGTTATATGAGACGATTGCGCACACGCTGCAAAACACCGGTGCAGATTTCCAAGATCGAAGCGTTCACAAGGAGAACGAGTAAAAAACGTAACGTGTGGGAAAAATTCGAGGATGATAAGTCGTATTTCACTAGTACAGTTCGCCCATACAGTAGATTGAATAACACGGAGAGAACTGAATTAAAATATGGATGGAATCATCATAAACCGCAATATTCACAAGAATCCAATGGAAAACAACTTGTTTCTAAAAATGATTGATCTACCTTATTGGTAAAATGTGGCTTTTCTATTAGCGCAGTAATTCTAAACTTAATATTCTACTGTTTTTTCAAGTTCAGTTTGAAAATAAAATTCAGACAATATCGATTTACCGGCCATTGTGCGAAGACAACAGTGAAGGAATGAAAAGAATGATTTTGGTCACTTCCCCAATGTCAAATACCGAAAGGTATTACGGGCATTATCTAATATCATTAGGAACTTTTCTTGTATCACAGAAGGTTGCAAATGGAGCGATTTGATTGGATTGTACACTACAATATTGATTGTCGTAGAGAAAGTTTTTGTCATCTATATAGAATCGCTTTGTGTAATCGGAACAAAATTTCTGTCCATTTTGGTCTGCTTCAAATGTTCAACTGTGGATTTGTGTATCATGTTTTTCACAATCCCACTGATCAAGTTAGATATATACCATCAATTGATTTGATTGGAAACACGGTACAAACCTTTTTGGCATTGAGTGTAAGAAATGATTGATGTGAAATATGCACAATTTTACAAAAGACGAAATAACAAATAACTCTGTAACACGTGGTTGACTTGTTACTGGTAAATATTATGTACATCAAATTGGACCTGTTATAATGCAACCTACAGATTATAAATATATCAATAGAGTATAAATGTATTATAAATTCGATAAAAAATAAATTTGTATTGAGATATACTCATCATTAGCCAACCGTCAGTTCTAGTTTTAGCATATTTTAAAATCCAACCAACACAAAGGCATACATACATATAGAGATTTTACCTTTATAATGATGTTATTGTGTATAAAGTATATCAAGAGCTGTAACCAAGGACCTCGCCTTGTTGTAATATTTGTGGTATCACAAGCTTATTTAGAAAGATTCATCTGACAAGGAAAATATTGATAATGGTTAACAAAAATACAATTGAACTGAATTTTGTGTAATACTCTTCAAACAAGTGATGGGTTATCATTTCCAGTTGATAATGATAACTTCAGATGAGTCAGAACTAGGTCCAATGCACTTAGTGGTATGGCCCTGTCTCATACGAAACGCATGGTAAGATGGGGTATATATGAAACTAAACCGGAAGTGACATATTACATAATGTACAAAAATTTGATTTGGAGGCTGTAGAGCTTATTTGATTTTATGCTCTTTGTAACAAGATGTAGGCCTATCTAATGCAATAGAAGTCTAAAATTTAGAAAATTTTTATAGACAAAAAAATTGCATTTACAATTTTGAAATTTTCTACCTAGGCGCTAATTATCGGATCGATCTGAAAATTACAATTTATAAAGACAGAATGCCAATACAAATAAAACTGCGTCATCCAAATTGTAAAATCACTTATGATCTGGTCGTGAGAACTTCTGGTTTTTCAAAATCACCTTGGGCGACCCTGCTTCCGGTGCAATTCATACATGTAGACAAAAACCTTACAGATTATCTATAGTAATAATTTGAATCACCCCATAAGAAAAAATTCAAACCGGAAGTTACACACGCGGTATTATCCGAGGGTGGCGCATTTTTGTTTAATTTCTCGTTTTTTTTATCCCAATCAGTAGCTCAAACGGGAATGAAAATAAGATCCAATTCTCGTAGATCGACCCAGTTACACTAACGGGAAAAATATTAGATCAAACAGGAATTTGCTAAACGGATACACAATTTTATTGCCACAAGGTTATAAACTTAAATTGCCAATACTTTTTTTACAATGAAGTTTTTATTGCGTTAATAATTCAAAGATCTCTCCATTTTATCAAAATTGTTCACAAATGGTAGGCTGTTGTCAATATCATAAAATTACAAAAAATATTTCTTTAACATTTCCCTCGGTTGAATCTATGCCATTATGAAATTGGTGTCGCTTACAAAGAGCTAACACACATACGAATTACGCCAACATCAAAAATAGCAAAAGTTTCATTTTTGGGGGATTTAAAGGCCAATACAAATTGATATGGCCATTTAAAGTTACTCATGAAATAGACGTTAGGCCAAACAACGCTGATATTGCGGTTTATGATGAATATAATATGTAAATAACTCTTCACCCAAATTCTTTCTTATATTTGGGGAAGATGAGCGTATTTTGATGCCCGATATATAAAACTAACTTTATCTAAAGCTATCTCTTTCTATAGCTATCTCAATCTAAAGCTATCTTAAACTACATTCAATTTTAATGAGTTTATCTAACTAAATTTTTAACGAAATTAAATATAGTTCGCACCTTGACACGGAGAAAATATCTAGATTTCTTTTCAGAATATTTGTTATTTTGTATCTGTCTGTTTGTATCAAAGGAAGATGGTCCCTGTCAATGCCCGAATTTGAGTAAAGTTTGAATTTTCAACATCGCTTACAAGACTGATATGCAGATAAAAATATAATAAGTAGAAACCTGTTACCCAATATAATTCATAGTGTATATTCAAAACCATCAAAATTCGATTAAAAAATAACCATACATATTTATTGCTTCGATAACTGCCTGCTATTGCAATAAGAATAAATTATACGCTTCAAAGTTTTGTTTCCCATATTTCATATTCATGGTGTGTATTTTGAATTCATGAAAAAACGAATTAAGGCTTCAGTAACTGTAACTTTAGTAACAGAATATTATATACTTGTGTTTAATTAACATCTGTTGAACGATGGTGTTTTATAATAATTTTGCATAGGTTGAAGATGAAAATCGAGTCAAATCACTTGAAAGCAGGAAGGAGAAGCAAAACTCTAAACAGTAACTTTAGTTTATAAATCAAGAAAGATGAATAAATGCTTGTGCTCTGTTTTATTGGTACTTGTTGGTATATGGTTAACAACAGTTGGTTTCACTGATGCTGGTAAGTTTTATGTCCACTATTATTGTCGACATTAGTTGAAAAAGCAAATTATCATATAATATTCATGCACAATTGCTTGTTTAAGGCTTTAAGGGAGTTTTTCTAGCGTATATTTGTATTTTGGAGATACTTTCAGCCTTAGAGTTTTAACATTCTGTTTTTTGTTGTTTTATAATAATAGAACCGCGATTGGCTTGGATGATCAATGATAGAGGCATAATTAAAATGTCTTCCATTGAAGTTTTTTCGAACCTACACCGCAAAAAGACAAGTACACGTTACAATAGTTACTTCAGACTGATTTGTCACCAGGTTTTTCACATTTCCAGTAATTTCACTTTATGTCGTGCTCCTAGCCTTTCATATATTTCAAAACTCGTCCTTGAATTAATTCAAAATGTTACATAAATACGTGTAAACATGACATTAAACTCCTTTCACTATATTATATTACGGAATGATTTCAGTTCAATGTACGTCAGACCCTGTTATAATAAACGGTGCTTTGGACTCTGATATAACGTCCAGAGAAGTCGGGGCAGTGTATGATTTTACATGTGGAGGTACACTGGAAGATATGGGAACTGTGACATGTAATGGCACTGGAGATTGGACGACAAGTTGGACATGTGAAGGTAAAAAAAAATTTTAAGATAATATATAAAAGAAAAGAAAGCGACATCTAGCTAAATTATATTTTTTAATGTAGTAAATAGTATTTGGTAAACTAGATCTGATTATATTATATAATATCTTTATCTGACTGAGATACTGACTGATTCGCCATTCTTCCTCGGGGCCGTGGTAACACAAGTGGGAAAAATTACGTATTCATAGCTAAATATTGTCCAATCAAAATTGGCCCTACTGTATTGGTAGCAAATTTCAGCAAATAAAAACAAATCACTCGTTATGATGCTTTGTTTGCGAACCTAAACAAACGAAAGCAGCGTGCCATTTTGATGATGTACGTACGGTGCAGAATTTAGTAAGATTTTCGTTAAAGAATTGAATATTTACTTGGAAAGAATGTGTTCTAATCCTTTCAAATGGACGATAGCAAAGTGGTGTTGTGCTCTGTTTACATAACCTCATTTCTGTTCTACCGATCTGATTGGTCAGATTTAAATGCCAACAATCTCATTTTCACGCCCCAAAACGAAGTTTAGTGGGTTCATTTTAATACGGGTTAATAAGACCGTGTCAAAACTGGTATACGACGCCCACAGAAAACAAGTTGCCAAAATCAGTATCAAATAGCTGTATTGATTTAAAATGCCGAACTTACAAACTCTAACACAGAGATTAAGCATTAGATGTGTAGTCAAAAGCTGCAAGCTAGCATTGATAGAAGGTACGTGTATATCGATTCTATTGTTTGTAATTTGTGGGCTTTAAGAAGCTTTCGTCAAACAAATAAAGTACAGGCTTTTGAGGAAATTGTTTTTAGCATGACCTTTTCGTTAAGGTGTGTCATTTAAGTTGATTATATTGATGACATTACATGTGAAGCCAGATCAAAAACCTAACCGGAACACGCATCGTAAAAAACTATAGGAAAAGAACAGGTTTCATTTTTTTGTGCCATCATAGGCCATATTTAAAATTTACTCAGGTGCATCTCATCACGAGTACGGGTTTTGACATGGTCTTATTAACCCGTATTAAACAAAACCCACTATACTTCTTTTTGTGGGCATGGAAATGAGATTGGCGGTATTTAAATCTGACCAATCAGATCGGTAGAACGGAAATGAAGGTCATGTAATCAAAACACAGTACGATTTTGATTTTCTGTCAGCTTACTCAAAACATTTAATTTAATGACACTCTTCTTTTCTGTCTTATAACGAGAGATTTGATTTGATTGGTTGAGATTTCCTATAAATATTTGCTCAGTTGTATGCTATTTCGTGTAGGCAACTGGACCTTATTCTGACCAATGTATAATAAGGAGTTGTTGCTTATCATTATTATTATTATTATTATTTGCTTTTCAGAATGTTACTTGTTGAATAGTTATTTCATAGAATTGTACAGTTACATTCCTGGTATAACCAATAGCGCTGGATGTGATGTAAAATGTGAGGAGTTGAACTGCGCGTATCGAAGATTCACACGAAGTCCAAGCCGTGGGTGTTATGTATCCCCATCATACGTGATATTCCAAATAGCTGGTTACACTCTTCAAAGATGTATCGATAAATGTGACGAGATGGAAGAATGTTTAAGTTTACGAGAAACCGAGGGCTATTGTTATCTGTTTAGCGAGACAGTACCATCATTGGTCGACTTGGGCAATGAGATCAAACCGCATGACTGGGGCACAATAATAGGGAAAAGATCAACTTGCCCCTCAACATGATCAAAATATAATGACTCTTTATCTATTGCTATCTTTGATTAAACCTACTTATTTTATGTAAAGCTACCTTCATCTACAGCTATATTTATCTAAAGCTAACTTCATCTACAGCTATATTTATCTAAAGCTAACTTTATCTACAGCTATATTTATCTATAGCTATCTTTATCTACAGCTGTCTATAGTTATCTTTATCTACAACTATATTTATCTATAGCTAACTTTATCTACAGCTATATTTATCTATAGCTAACTTTATCTACAGCTATATTTATCTATAGCTAACTTTATCTACAGCTGTCTATAGTTATCTTTATCTGCAACTATATTTATCTATAGCTAACTTTATCTACAGCTATATTTATCTATAGCTAACTTTATCTACAGCTATATTTATCTAAAGCTAACTTTATCTACAGCTATATTTATCTATAGCTAACTTTATCTACAACTATATTTATCTAAAGCTAACTTCATCTACAGCTATATTTATCTATAGCTAACTTTATCTACAACTATATTTATCTAAAGCTAACTTCATCTACAGCTATATTTATCTATAGCTACCTTCATCTACAGCTATATTTATCTAAAGCTAACTTCATCTACAGCTATATTTATCTATAGCTAACTTTATCTACAACTATATTTATCTATAGCTATCTTTATCTACAACTATATTTATCTATAGCTACCTTTATCTACAACTATATTTATCTATAGCTAACTTTATCTACAGCTATATTTATCTATAGCTACCTTTATCTACAACTATATTCATGTATAGCTATCTTTATCTACAACTATATTCATGTATAGTTATCTTTATCTACAACTATATTCATGTATAGTTATCTTTATCTACAACTATAGCTATCTTTATCTATTACTATCTTTATCTACAGCTATCTGTATCTGTAGCCATGAATAGATTAATAACCTACTGTTTCAGCTATCTTTATCGCCATCAATTTTTATCTACAACTATGTATTTCTACAACTATGTATTTCTACAGCTATCTTTATTTACAGGTATCCTCATCTACAGCTATCTTTATTTACAGGTATCCTCATCTACAGCTATCTTTATTTACAGGTATCCTCATCTACAGCTATCTTTATTTACAGGTATCCTCATCTACAGCTATCTTTATTTACAGGTATCCTCATCTACAGCTATCTTTATTTACAGGTATCCTCATCTACAGCTATCTTTATTTACAGGTATCCTCATCTACAGCTATCTTTATTTACAGGTATCCTCATCTACAGCTATCTTTATTTACAGGTATCCTCATCTACAGCTATCTTTATTTACAGGTATCCTCATCTACAGCTATCTTTATTTACAGGTATCCCCATCTACAGCTATCTTTATTTACAGGTATCCTCATCTACAGCTATCTTTATTTACAGGTATCCTCATCTACAGCTATCTTTATTTACAGGTATCCTCATCTACAGCTATCTTCTAGCACTGTTTCTTTTTCTTTTCTTTTGATCAATACGATCTTTTCTCTATATGTAGAAATAAAGTGTTATGAAATCTAATGTAGTTTTGAATCCAATCAAAACTTGATGAATTTGTTTATTAACTATTTATAAGTTAATAATTAATATTTATGAAAATTATTTAAGACAATTGACAAATATTTGACAGTTCGGGTGTTGCTTTCATGTTATGTTATAATCGTTGCACGTGATATGCCGTATTTTGGTTTACAAGTACATATTAACGGGAAGAACTGAGCACAGAAGAAAATATATAATCAACTCCAATGTCCAAAAATGTGGAACATAGGGTTTATTCCCAGTTCTACATGTATTCCCATTTTGCACTTCCCCATTTCATTCCTTCTCATTTTGTCTTTTTCCGATTTGTCCCTTTTTCATTTTGTCCCACTTCTATTCCATCCCCTTCTCAATTTGCACCCCCCCCCCCCCC